AAAGTTTGGATTTGATAATGTTTAACTCCAAACAGAGTTAACTGCTTAAAACTCAAATATATTAAAAGCATCGATGACTGACTATACTTCTTATCCTGTGTCACTTCTGTGACTGTAATCTATCAGCAAATCAACCATGTAGCAAATGCATTACAAATATAACAGTTTTAGTTGTGTATTGAGGAAAATTTCTTGTATTTATTATTTACTTTGTCTTAAATGTAGCAAATCGGCTTAAGCTTGTTCATCAGTACTTTTGAAACAGCTTAACTAGAGAAAAAAAACAACTTGAATGTCGGCCTTCTGGGACACTTTTTGCCTTATTTTGACATTTTGTGGACTAAGTACGACGTAATGAAACTGATTATTTAAATTGCTCTAAGTGTAGCGTTCAGTTGCTGACTAACCTGTCTGTCTTCTGTGTGTTTCTGCTTCATCTTCTCAGGGAGGAAGAGGAGGACGAGCAGCTAAACAAGATGATGCTGGATTTCAGTGAGTACCCGCACCACGTCCACAGCCCCCCCACCCCCCACCCTGTTCATTAGTTTTCATAACCTCAGTGTCACTGCAACTTAGTTGGCTTATAAATTATCCAATTGAGGATTTCCATCATGGACACCTCTAATTGAAGTAGATAGAATTCTGTGTGTGTGGGGACTCGTGGTGCATTTTTCTTTTTTTTTTTTTAAAGGGTGCGCCTGGGCAATGTTTTCATCTCGTTTGATCTACTGACTGCTAATGGAAAAAGCATCAAACAAAATGCTCCCCCCTCTCTTTTTGTCAGCAGCGTCCCTATTAGACAAATGGATAATGCAGCTGCTTAATTTGACCCTCTGATAGAGCAGCGTTGGATCCGGCTTCATTTGCAATTCATGACCGGCAAAGCAAGGCTGAAAATTGAGGAGATTTATTGAACTTCAGTGAAAGGTCATTACATTGCAGCGAGCGAACGCCGACCGTGGGCTAAAGACTAGCCATTTCAGTTTTAATGTATTCATAAAGTTAATGCCAAAGTTTCACAATTCGTTCTCACTCCGAGTGCAGTTGTGTGTCCGTTTACACACACGTGCCGTGTCCCATGCGGTGGAGATGTGGAAAATCACCTGCTTTCCACTGGATGGCAGGCGTCAGGACATCCGTAGTGGTGACTAAGTCAGACTTTTGTGTCTGCAAGATGGCTGCAAATGTGGGGCTTTCTGAATCACGGTGCAATATTAAAGACCCTTAAATGGGCTCATGAAAGGAGCTGTTTAATTATGTATACAAAATAAAGCCCACTTAATAATACAGTGACATTTTAACATTTTTATCTGTCCCCCAATACTTAGTCACTCACAAACAGCTCCTACTTCATCCTTTAAAATCATTTTAGCCAAACTACACTGGACTTTCTAAATAAATGCACAGAAGGATTAAAGTTGCTTTTCGGGGATATTAAACGATTTCCTTTTTTCAAAAACACATTTACAATTCGCCATCTTGTGGGTGGCTCAGTCGCCTGAATCATGACTACTACTGTGTGAACAGGATGTCTGTCGATGCTGATGATGCTCAGACTCTAAATCTCTTCAGGAATCCGGTCATAGTGCAGCTCTGTGCCTTTAGCCTATCGGGATATTTTACTTATATTAATTATTGGCAACAACCCTCTTAGTTTACCCCCCATTTTGAACAAGTTGTTTTAACTCTTCTTCCTATTGAGGCAACTTTCTGCTGATTGACTGTCCCTCGCAAACAGAAGGTCTGGACAGAAAGTGGGTGGGGCTCCTGCACCTACATTGAGAGCAAATAAAGCCAGTGACACTGAAACATGAACACAGTTTGTCTCACAGGATTGTTTGAAAACATGAAAATTCACCATCATGACAGTGTGTTCTTAATGCAATGTAATAACTGTTTTGTAAAGTAAGAATTTGAATGATGTCTCTCTCTCGCTCTCGCTTTGATCACACAGACATTAAGAAGGAAAAGGAAAAACCAAAGAAGGAAAAGTCAAAGTCTCCGATGTCCAAACTGTTCGGCTGGGGAAACAAGAAGGAAGCGTGATACTCTGCAAAGCCCTGCTGTTGTTGCTGTTTTCTTTCAGTCTTCCTTTGATGTTTGCGCTGCTTAACGTCAGTGTGCTCAGCCTGTGATTTGCGGGATAACACGGATGCTGCGTGCGTTTGAGTGTACAGCATGTGCGAGCATGTGCAATCTGTCGTTCTCGGCACTTGTTGAAAGATGCCCTTCCCTCTGTCAGCTGTGTCACTCAAGATCTGACGCTTCTCCTGCCTTACTCCACTGTACGTACACACACACACACACACACACACACACACACACACACACACACACGCACACAGCATCGAGGGGTTAATGACTCACCAGTCGTGATGTGATTGGGTTCAATGTTCCAGTTGTTAGTTTTAATCCCCTTCTAGTCTTAATCTGTCTCCTTAATGCTGACACACACACACGCACACACACACACACACACACACACACACACACACTTGCTGTCTGCTTACATCTCGCTGTTTGTGCATGTCATTGAAATGTTGCTTGTATACAGTAACACTGATACAAGTGGGAGTCAAAGTCCTTCAAACCCATCGTGAAACAAGCCACATCAGCAACGTCGGGGTCGCTGTCTGAGTCTGTTTACTGCATTTGGACAGTGACCACTGTGCTTCTTTAGCTATGTCTTAATGATATCTAATGGCGTTTTCTAGATGAGTGGTTCCCAAAGGGAAGTCATGGGAGTAGGATGTCTGAGTCAGAAAAGACACAGTCACTATAGATAAATATGAAAGCTGTAACGAGGGCTGTTTTTATGGCTCAGTAGAGGGAAAGGATGTGTGTGGTTTGCGTCATGTGACCTGAACGTCTCATAAATACTCAGTCGTTTGCCCGTTTTTATTTGTTTTTGTTTTTATTGAGCGCATGAAATGCATGAAGTGGTCCACATTGGACCTTGATTTGTACATGTTTTAATAGTTCTGAGCCAAACTGACTGTGTACTGTCTGAGTGCCATAAATTGATGTAATTCTGAAGCAACTTTTTAATTCTTTTGTGTGTTATGACCAGATGTTGTGTGTATGTTTATGCTCTCATCCCCTTGGTGGCTGTCTGACTATTAAAAGGAGAAACTTGCCTGGGTTTTAAATTAATTGCTGTTTTAAATATTCTTACTTTAATAAAAAGATGGTAAAAATTAACGGACCGTGTTGATGTAGTTGGTGAATGCGGTGCACAGTGAAACTCAAGTATTAGTAATAAGCATGCCTGGGTCACCACTATGGCTCACCTGGTTTAGCTGGAAACCCATCCTATACTGAAGGCTGTTGTAGGGGCCTGGGTTTGAGTCCACCTCAGACCATTTCCTGCGTGTTGTTCTGCCTCACTTTCATGTCTCCTCTCTGCAGGATCCTATTGAATTGGGGGGGGGTAAATTTATTTAACCAAATAATTTGACTTTATTTTTATTTTTTATAATGTACTGAATCATTTTCATTACCAAAACTAAACAAAGTGAAGTGCAGTGTCTCTGTAAAACCACCAGGAGGCAGCATGGGCCTTGTCATGTCACCCTCGCTCTCAGTAGGACATCCGTTTCATATCAGTACAGGCACCGATTAAACAGGTTTAAAGGCACATCACAAACACGAGGTTGCAGGTTTATCATTTGTAATAATAATAACAAAAAGCTGTCAGTTTTCTTTAGTTATCTTCATTTTTCTATTTATTTTTAAGAATTCTTAGAAAATTGCAAAGCCAAACAAGTTAATGGAACCAGTTTCACGTCAACGGGTCAGATATTTCTCGCCTCTTTCTAAATTAACTTTTACTGCTTGAACACAACAGAAGCTGCTTAATTTCTGTTATTCAAATCATACACTTAAAAAGAAAGAAATGCAGATTTCCTGACCATGCATTCTAAGCTGCTGCGGGGTTTATTTTACTCTTTTATATCACAACAAATAAGACACATATTTCTTGCAGAGGACAAACAAAATGTCCTTTTCATTACCAAGCGGAAGCTAGCGTGACTGCAACTCTTTGTGTAGCTGTAGCTATCTAAGGGTTTTGGGGCCTCAGTTTAACCTCCTAGGACCCGAACTCTTCCACAGCATGCATTTTTAATTTCTCTTTGATATTTGGGCATATTGGGGCCCGATGAATGTAAAAACAAAGAATTACCAGATTATTGTTTTATTTTACCTTATTTTTGTTTTTAAGAAAAATAAGAGCCACATATGAGGATATTCGTTTAAATTTTTGATAGAACAGTAGCAGTATAATGTCCTCGTAAGTGGATATCAGGCTCTTGTAGAGCAAAATTGAATATTTTGGTCTAAATAACCCAAAATGTGATGTCCACATATGTGGACGCCAGGTCCTAGGAGGTTAAATAATAAAAGCCATAACTGCCTCCACATCAGCTACAGTATTCAGAATGTGCAGAATCCTCACAAACTTACAGCTTTCCAAAGAGGCCATTGTAGATCCAAAGTACACTGGTGAACACAATGCACAGCATTTGATTTATTTTCCATTTTTCAGATTTTAAGACACACACACACAAATCTTCTGGTCTCAAACTCGTTTTGTATACAGAACAAAGCTCTGAAACACAAGAACAATTTCTCTGCCACAGTTAAAATATCCATTTAAAGGAGTGAAGAGGAGAAGAAAAAAAATAATACAATAACAGCAGAAAAGAGCAGGGAAATTGACTTCGAGCTTTCTTGTTTTTTTTTTTTTTTTGGCTTTTTTAAAAGTCTGTTAGTGTGAAAATACAAAACTGTGTAATCTTCCTCTCTCTAAAAGCAGCATCTGTTCCTGTTGTTATGTGTGAAAATGTTTGTTGATTCCTCCCTCAAACCGTGATAAAATGTTCCATCACTACGCCGCTGTGTGTCTGAATCAATCATGTCTCTGCTTAACTTTGGAACATGTTTATCTTTCGTGATGTGTGGAGGGGAGGGGGGAAAATTTGCCTTTAAGTCGACTCGGCGAGGTTACAGCTGTAACACGGGAGACTTTGAGGTGGCTCATTTACATAACACAGTGGGCCCTCGCGTACTTATTCACGCAGACTTTTTACACAGTTTAGTGAATTTCGGCGAGGCTCGACTCTGCTCTGACATAATGTGACTGAACCATTCACGGCCCCTATCTCTTTAATCCATGTTAAAGTCACATAAAGTCGACGTTAGCGTACATTCAGCCTGTTGGTACTGTTGTGTCACACTCTTTTGTACATTTTTCCTCACTTTTTTGTTAAGATTAAAGAGAAGCTGTGTTTATAATTTGACACACTGTGGACATGCTACTATTTCTCTTAAGTGCTCTGTGACTTAACTCGCTATTGCTCGTGGTGAAGATGTGATTCTGCTTTCAGCTCGACTCAACTTGTCAACATTTTCTTCTACCATGTGTGCATTGTCTTATTTAAAACCCAAGAAGCCTCAGTTTTGGGAGTTGAACTCTCTTAAGTATTATTTGACGCAGCCCTAAAGGACAACTTTCAGCACTGAAAATCCAAACAAATTTAGAAGGAGCTAAAGCTACAAAAGGGAGCCAGTCTCCATTGACTCCAGTGTGAAATTGCTCACCTTTATAGCATTAAAAAGCATATCTACAACTTGGTACAAAATCGTCTTGGCCTGTGTTAACATATTGCTGACACCTAATCGCTAAACATGCAACGTGAAATTTTCCACCATTTTGAATATGTGAAGGCCCAATTACAAAAACCTGGAGACTTGTCTGCGACCATCGACCAACAACCGGATGCTAGAGGAAAATGTGTATTCCTTGACCATTAAGTGAAAATTTTGTTGCGATTACTTTGGTTGCAAGCAGGTTGCTGTGGTCACAGCAATTAGCCCTGAGTATGCCATATACTCCTTGAGTGGCATTGTGTGAAAAGTGGAACGAAAAGTGGAAAAAGATTTTTTTGCCTTCAAAGTAAATGTTGCACCTTTTGCTGTGGCAGTGAGGCACAACTTTTACTTTAAAGTTGAATGTTCTCCATTTCTAGTATGTGGCAGTGTTTTTTTAAGTTTTAATACCACTTTGTGGTTAATTAACAAATGTTTGCAGATACTTGCTAATTAAGTATCAATGTCTTCCATGCAAACTACACGTGACCACATCAATCTGATACTGCAATCATGAGGAATTTTTTTGGTTCAAGAAAACTCATTGCAACTGATTTTACGTAAAGACAGCTAGCTTGCTAACAAGCTAGTTAGCATTAGCTAACAAATTGACACTTAACATTCTTCTGCGTAAATTAACTTCTGGCTCCTAAAATGCAACATGGTGGGGGCCAAAACATTACCACTGAAGATTTGATGTATGGAGTTTAAAACCAGTGGATAACGTCCTGGTTACTATGTCTCTTTTATTGATTACTGTCTATCATAGCACAGCTAAGATGTATCTTCATGATAACCTAACCAATTGTGAGTTAAAACACAATACGCCATTATTTTTTTTCTTTGATAAACTCTAACAAGTGATCTATGTATATACAATATATATAAAAATATATGATTTCTTTTGCTCTCCAAAAACCAATATGGCGTAGGCCCCCACAGCTGTATTGTTCAGATCTTACTCTGCTAACGAATCTGCCTTTCTTTCAGCGGGTGTGAATCGATCTGCCCTACAATTGCTTTTGTGAGATCTTAAGATGTGTAATTTCCTCTGTGTATTTATTTTGGTGAACTTCAAAAGATTTTTTTTTAAAAAGCGGGAGGTCATAAAGCAGACCACACGAGGAACTTAGGGGTGCTCGACCTCACCCTGCTTGCAGTGAAAAAAAAAATGCTGTAGATATTTAGATGCTTGGATACGTTTCTTTGTTTTCACACACAGCAGCGCAATATGTTCCGCTCTGGCAAAACGGTGAGAATAAGGTGTAAAAGTGACGACAGATTTAAGAGCGAGACAGATTCTAGCATGTAGGAAGAAGCTGATGTGAATGGAATCTGTAGCAAAATGATTTTTTAGAACTGGTGTGAGGCGTATAAATATAAAGCAGAGCCAAGCGGTTGTGAGTGAACCGTTGCTTCTGATTTGTTTTTGTCATTTCCTTTGTTTTTGTCTGATTCGCCGTCTTCATGTTTCGACAAAGAGCTTATTCTTAGTATAATTGTGTCTTTGTGACAACACTGCTGGAAAAGTGATCATAACCTAGGGACCCCCCCCCAAGAACCTCTGGATGTCGCCCGTGGAAACCCTTTGCATGTGGTCTCCAACACAAACAGGCGCACATGTACAGTAAAAACTTGCACACAAACTTGGTGGTGATGGTGACAGGAGGGAAAATCATTTCGGGGTTTGGGTTTAGGTCTCCCTCTTTGTGTTTCTCCAAGTGTCTGTGAAAAACCAGCAGGGTAATGATCAGTGTGTGAGTGTTGTGTGTACACATCAGCTCTTCCACGGATGGATACTTATGTTTCTGTGAATGAGTAATGCGAAAGACAGAGAGGATATGTGCTCAATGAATCACAAACACCATCTATCAGGGTAAATATTTCCACTCACATTTTCAAGCTCTTTGAAAGCTCAAATATTGGTCTGATAACTTGTGTCTCTTAAATTTGAAAGGAGACGTTTTCTTTTCCTTAATTAATTTTTGGCTTTTGACTTAATGTGGCAGCCACAAATTGTCAAACCATTTTATTAATGGAGCACACAGTCTTGCATGAACACAATCCGACTCTATATAGATACACCACATTACATTCGTTTAGTTATCGCTTAATTACGCAATTCCAAAAGCTTCGGACCCACATAGCTTTTTAACATGGGACACATGAGATCATAGAGAATCATGAAGACATGTTTTAACATGCTGCACCCCTCATCAGCATCTGGTTAAAGGTTAGGCCTGAGAATGGCACATGGCAATGTGGGATTCACACATCTTTCAGTGGTCAGATAACTGCGGCAGCATGTTCTGTCAACCTCTATCAAACCTTGGTAAAAAACAAACATAAAATAAACTTGTGGTGAGATACCAGTAAAGATCTTTAGATGATTATGCTGTTGATGACAACTGTTTGTCCTGCAACAACACTGGCTGGAAGTCCTTTGATTTTCTTAGCGATTGTTACTTGAATTGATTTCAGTTAGCAAAGAACAAGGTAATACA